TATTACATTTGGTTGTCAACATAACTCGTAGGATATTAAATCTTAGGTACCGAGTTATTAAATCTTAGGTAGGTGGCCACCATGGTGCTGTGTCTAATGTTAGTTAATTAACTGATTAATAAAAGAATAAGTAACAGGACAACTTTATTCCTATAATTTTATTGAAATAGTGCAATGCATGTAAATTTATGTAATCTTCTTCACAAATAATGGTTTGATATATTTTAATACATTATTCTGATTCTAGAAACAATCTAAAGCCCATAACTTCTGTGAAAGACAAAACGTCTGAATTTCTTGCAAGTTCACTTTATTAAAATGGTGAAGAAGATTTGCAGGCAAAACGTTTTGCATTAGGACAGTCGAGTACTCCATCCTTATCAATGGGAAGTCGAGGGGTAGGATTATGCTTCGAGAGGCTTGAAACAAAGTGATCTCATCTCCCCCTTCCTTATCTTACTGGTTGGGGATATTAAGAGTAGAATTGTCTCGAGAAGAGTGGAGGGTAACATTCTTGAGAGAGTTCAAGTAGGGACGGAAAATCTATTCTTGTCCCATCTCCAGTTTGTTGATGACATGATCTTCTTTTGCTCGAGTAAAGAGGAGTCTTTTGTCAATCTCAACCGTATCTTGTCATTTTTAAGTCTAGTCTAAAGATTTAACAAAGGCAGGTGTCAAGAGTTAGACATTAATTGTGATCCTCCAAAGTTGAATAGATGGGCCTCGTTGGTGGATTGTGAGGTAGGTTCTTTCTTTCCTCCTATCTGAGGAAGAACTATGCTATTGACCAACCCTTTAGTAGTGACTTCGAATCAGTAGGCCTCTCCTTTTTTCTATTATAATCCTAGGAGTTTGTCTTTTTAGGATCCAGTTGTGGAAAAGGTTCAGAAGAAACGTCTATCTTCTCGGAAAAGAAAGTTTTTCTCCAAAAAATGTAGACTACTCTGATTCAGTCTGTTTTAAGTGGTTTTTCGCTTACTTCCTCTCTCCATTTAGGGTCCCTATATTGGTCGGTAGTTTTTTGTAAAAGCTTATGATAAACTTTTGTGGGAAATGGTTGATGAGGGGAAGGGTTCTCATTTGTAAAGTGGGAATCGGTCAGCAAACCATTAGATTAAGGGGGTCTAGACATTGGTAATTTGAAGGTGGGAAACAAGGCCTTGTGGCTAAATGGTTGTGGTGTGGCACTTTGCTCGAGAGATTAACGCCTGATGGCATAAGGTTATTGCCAACAAATATGGTCTCCATCCTTTTGAGTGGATATCGGGAAGGGTTTGAAAGGCACTTCCACAAATCTATAGAAAGCTATTTCTGATGAGTTTCCCGTCTTCTCTCACTTTATTTAGTGTTCTGTGGGTGAGAGCTCTGATATTTAATTTTCAGAGGATAGGTGGTTGAGGGATAGACCCCTCTACTCCTTGTTTACTCGTTTATACCATCTGTCATCGATGAGATCATCTGAAGTCCTTAGTCTTACCTCTTTTGGAAATTCTTCCTCTCTTACTCTTGGGTTCCATAATTTTTTGCACAATAGGGGAACGACGAATGTTGTGGTTCTTTTGTTCTTAGGGAGTATTCTATTAGTCCGGGGAGAAAGGATTCTCGTCTTTGGGGCCCAAACCTTCATAAGAGTTTCCGTGGATCTTTTTTTTGGTGTTTGGTGGACCCTTCCCCCTCCAATTACATTATCTTTTCCTTGTGGAAGGTTAAAATTCCTAAGAAGATTAATTTTTTTGTGGTATGTCCTTCACGATATAGTTAATTTGCTGGCTCTGGCTGCTGAAAACTTCACCCTCTATAAAGCCAAAAGAAAGCGAGTAATGGAAGCACACTACTTTCTTCTCTTCTGGTGGCTACTCTATCCTAAGTACTCCATTAGAATCCTTGAATGGTTGACCTCTTTTCATTCTTCATCAACCTTTCACGTCAAAAGGATAGCTACAAACTGGTTTGATAACAAAGAAACAACTTGACCCCGTTATTTTTCTTTCCTTTACCATATGTTTGAATTATTCAACCATTTTTTTTAATAAGAAACTGAACCTTCATGGAGAGAAATGAAAAATAGATAAAAAAAAACAAGGAGGGCATACAAAAAAATAACCTTGCAAAAGAGAACCTTAAAGAAACGGGCTCCAATCCAAAAGAATGAGATCTAACTGATGATTGCAAAAGACCTTAGTGACCGAACCCCAGAAAGAAGTATTAAACCTAATGAGGTCCCAAATATAATCCACAGTTTTCTCCACCCCCTAAACTTCCTCTCCAGCCCGATACCCATAATGTAGCCAGAAAACACGCTTGCCAAAGAAAACGACGATATTAACCATATTAACCATATTAACCAATGTGCTCACTGCAAACACCAAATCACTCTTTTAGTCCAAAGAGGTTAGTACTCACGTGTTGTCAAGGTATTAAATTTTCATATGTCCATATATTCGACATCGACATAAAAAGTGAGAGATTTGTATAGTATCACAAAACAACCAATAAAATATAAAAAAAATATCAACATAATATCACTAATATGGACATAATGTTAATGTTAATAATTTTAACTTATTTAAAAAGTGTGACATGCTTCTTTGTTAATTTAAATATTTGTAATGAATTTTTATTTTTATAACTTTTCAGAAATATCATCAACATCAAATCAATATTTAAAACCTCGCATGTTGCACATATATTTTAAAGTTTGAAAATAATTATTAATGGTAAAGTTGAAAAGTTATTCGATTGAATACAAAAAATATAAGAAGTAAATATGGTTTAAAATTGAACTAATAATTAACCTTTTAAACAAAGTAACTATTTACCAAAATTCTTTTTCTAAAAGAAAAATATAGTGATATAAATATATATCTATACTAAAAAAAACACACACACGTAATGAAACAAGCTATATGAAAATTTATAAATATGTTATAAAATTTTAATAATTAAAATATTAACATAAATAATTAACTATTATTAAAAAATAATTAAAATTAATTTCATATATCCAAATGTGAACCTTTAAAGTTGATTGCATTTATCAAAAATAATAAAATAAAATATTACAAAATTGCAACCAAATATATATATTTGAGAATATTTAGAAAATGAAACCATATTCGACAAAAAAGGAAATCATAACTTCTCTCCTTCCCATTTTAATATATATTATAGATATTTAAACTTTAGCTGCGAATCAAGAGAACCACAGAAATTTTCATGTTAGACTTTAATTAGTCTTTTCTGNCCCAATTTTGGGAATGGGATTAATAAAAGAGGAAGAAACGAAGAATCAGAGATCAAGAATATATCCTCGACTGTAATCTCCACCCTACAAATTATTGAACCAAAAAAAAGCAAAGAGAGAGATCAGGAAAACAATGCCTCAGGAGTTGCAATGACGGAAGTTTCAAAGTCGAAGAACAAAAAGGAATCAAGAAAGTTAAAAATTCAATTACACACGAACATTTATTTGAGAACATGATTGATGCGATTAATCCATTCAAATCAACAAAACAGAACAGAATCCAAAATAACAAACGATTAACGCAAAACCAGATCACATAAAACAAAATGCAGAAATCCGCATTAGTTATTGTTCGGATTTCTCTTCTTAAACAAGAAAATGGCACCTGATAAGCGGAAGTAGCAACGCCGAAGAAGAAGTTTGGAGGGAAGTCATCGCGAGATAGTTGTTTAGCGTTTGCGCCATCGGCTTCCTCTTGATGATCCTCTAGAAACTCCTTCTTCGCCATTGGCGTACAACGATCTTGTGTCTACTGTGGATCAGTGCGGGAAAATGCGATCGGAAATTGCAGAGAAAAATAGTGAACGTGTATTTATGGTGTGAGGAATGATAGTTGATATTTAGTGTTTATTTTTATTTTTATTTTTTATTTTTAGAAATGATATTTAGTGTTCTTGAGAGATGATGGATCGAATTTGTTTTAAGATTCAATAAATTCAATGAATTTCTATTGAACATACTAGTTAGATTCACGTGCCACGTTAATATTTTTAGAATATAATTTTTTACAGTAATTTTATATTTGAATGAATATACATTTTATTAATGTTTAACTATTAAATATTTGACATTAATTTTTAAAATAATGAAAGCTAAAAAATAAAAAAAAACAGCATAGATAATTAAAGTTTAAATATATATATAAATGTATAACTTCATACTTTTTTTTTCAAAAACATTTACTTTGTTGATAGTTGATACTAACATCTGAATTAATCTTCATTTTAAAATAGTAATATAATTGACATAAAAAAAATTTTAAAAATGTGAATGTGAATTATGCGTGGAATAGCCCTTAAATGTAAGGATAAATAGATAATTATTGTACTAAAAAAGTGGAGTAGGTAATTTCTTTTATTTATTCAAGATATTTTATGGAAGATATTCATTAAAAAAATGATGTAAATTCTTTAGTTTTTTTAATTCTTATTATCATTATTTTTACAAAATAAAAATTATTTTTCATAAAATAGATATTGGGTTACATTTTAAAATTATAAAATATATTTTACTAATAACACTTTTAGGCAAGAAAGTAACTACTTTAAAACCTAATTTTTAAATTTTTGTTAAATTTTTTAGTTTTTGAAAAAAAAAAATCTACCTCTTATTTTTTTAAAATTATTTTATGACTACTTGTTTTCAAAAATTATTGTCTATATTTTAAAATTGTTAGTAATATCTTATCTAGTAATATTTTTATCTAGTCAAAGAAAATAAGATATTAATCAAATTTAGAAGAAAAAAAATAATGATACTATAAAATTTTATCATTACAAATTTTAGGAAAAATAAATCATACAAATGTTTGACACAATGACATTTTTGTAGAATTAATATCTATTAAAATCTTGAAATATACACATGATTTAAAACGAAAAAAAAAGTTCAATATAGATCAAATAATAAGCTAGTTTGAAACATATAAAAACCAAACAAAAAAAAGTTTGAAACTTGTTGGTATGAAAAATGAGGAGGTTGTTGAAGACAATAGAAATAAAAAAATGAATTAAAAAGATAAATTTCAAAATTTCAAAAAAATAAATGACAGATACACGTGATCGAAGACTTAATCTTCATAGAATCTCGTGTTATTCTTGATTTTATTTTCCACCAAATTGGTAGGACCTCCCATTTTTGTTGACTTTCTTCGAGAATATGATAAGATCTCTGACTTTAAGTGGTTTTGATTATTGAATCTTTTTTGTTTTGTTCGTTTTAGAACCAACTACACCTAAATGTGATCACAGTACACAAATATTAATCAAAACTACCACATCAGTTTAGAAACTCAAATTAATTAATAAAAACAAATTCTTCTAAAAAATAATGAAAGAGATGTAAACAATATATAAACATATTCCAATAGTACTTAAAACCAACATCAATTAAGAAAGCCACATTATTCAAATTAAATATCAATGAATTATTTGATCAAAGAAAAAAACTTTTATAGACATTCTGGAGGAAAGAAAAAAAAAAGACATAATTTTTATGTATGACCACTTTAGTTTTCTTTCATTCTATAGATGGTTTGCAATTGCACCTATATGTGAATAGATGCATCACTTTGTCGAAGAGTTGCACTTCTATTGTATTAACTTCTCATTTGAATGTGTGAAAGGATGTGTGACACAATGTTATAATCTCCATCGCACCGATATGCGAATAGGCACAGCTCTACGATCTTGATTGCACCGATTCTCTCAATAGACACCTTGATCCAAACAGTCGCATCTCATGGAAATCTAAAAAGGCAAAATAGACATGCGTATTGAATCAATAGACACCTCAACCAATCGCATCCCCTCGAAGTTTAAAGGGCAAATTTGGTATATACTACAAAAATTGAGGGCAAAAATGGTAGAGAAAAATTCTCCTCCATAGCCTCATTTATATATAGTATATAGATTTGTTTAAAAAAAATGTAATCCAAATGGTTGAAATTTGAAAACATCTCGTGTTTCCAAATTTTAAATTTGAAATTTTATAATGCATAATTACTTGAAAAGGATAAAAATTTTAATAAATATATTATTTAATGTTATAAATTCATTTTATTATTTTTTTAAATTAAAATATATAAAATATAATATATCATAATAATATAATATTATGAAATAATAATTATGAAAATTTACAATGTTCATAAGTCAATTAATGATATTTGAGATAAATATTTCGTTACTTTACAAATATATTAACAACTGTAGAATTAGAGAAGTTGTTTTGAAAAATAATAATGATGAGAATGTGGTGGTTAAAAAAACAATTTAAAAATAAATCGTTTTCAAACTAATAATTTAAAAATAAATCGTTTTCAAACTAATAATTTAAAAAATGGGGTTGTACCAAAAAAAAATAAAAAATGGGGGTGGTTCTGACTCGCTGAGTGGGACCGCTGATTTTGGAATCATTCGTATTTCGTGACTCTGATTTGTGATGAAAACAATTAGGCCAGCTGCAGCTACCACCAATCTTTTGGATTCTTTTATAGTAAAATGGATTTTTAAGAAAGGGACAAAATTTTGGGTTTAAGAGCTTTTTCTCCCTTTTCTTATTCTTTTTTCGTGGAGGGGTAGAAACTGAAAAACCGATATCATTCTCCCAAGTCCACAATTTAGAATTTGACCTTAATCGCTCCGACATTTTCTTACGATTTGGCTGCTCTACCACTTAGTTTGAAGTTAGTAGACTATCCACACTGATACAGACCAACAAGAGTGCTTCTAGCATGTTGTCCTCAATCACAAGTCACATGCTTCATAATATGCTTCTTAGTAAAGTAGGAAGTTACCTAGTCTTACCAAAAATGAACGTGCATCTTATTTGTATAGGTTAGGACTATTTTTTAAGTCGATTCATATAAAATTTTCTCTCTCACCCCCCTTTCTCTCTCTCCCACGCCACTTTCCTTTTTTTTCATTTATTTTAAAATATTTAATCTCCATCATTATAAATTTTATATTTCTCAAATTAATTTTCTCTTTCTAATAAACTCTTACGGGTTAGAATATGTTGGGTTTTGTCAGATAAAAAGTTATAACTTATTTTGAATTATAATTAATAAGGAATTTCAAAAGTTTCATAACCTTTTATTTTCTACAACTATATAAAGAGTTTTTTCTTATTCTTTCTCCCAACTTTTTCTTCATCAAAACTTGAGTTTCTTTTCTGTTTCGGTACGTAAATTTTCTCATTTAGTTAATGTCTTGTGTTTTCTTATATCTAGTTAGATTGTTTGATTGAATATTCAACTTTTTTAGTTAATTTTTTTTTCCAAATGACTCAATCAACTGGAAAAAGGAAAGTGAAAATGAGTGATAAGATCGAATCAATTTGGACGGATCCACTTTGGGATGACACTTGATAACCGCGAGGACTCTCTCTCTCAATGACCTCCTCCTTGGTAAGGTGATCATCGTGTGATGAAAATAGCCGGAGCAATCCATCAGAACATGATTGTGGTTGGCATTCCCGGCGAGCTAGGACAAGGAATTGGACCGAAACTCAAACATGGAAAAGAACGGCTTCCCTGAACGCATCTCTATCTCTCACTATTTTTTTTTTGTCATTTTATTTTTCAATGACTCAAATAAAAAATTGAAAGAAAGTTGTATTTACTTTTATGTATTGTTATGTTTAGGAAAAAAAGATGAAAATCCATGAATATGTGTTTTTTTAGGAAAAGTAATTGAAGAATAATAGTTTTAGTCACACTAACCACATTAGTGGGTGATGCGAATTATTGAAACATTGTTTTATGAGATAAACATTGAAAATACAAAAAAAAACTTGGTGAGGTAAACATTTAGAGATAAAAGAAAAACCAAATTATATTATAAATTTTAACTATTTAATTAAATTTTATATTTTTAAACATTGAAATAAAAACTATGAAATTTTGCACGTGTTTCCTACTAGTAATAATAAAACACTACTAATAATAAAAAATGACGAAAAGTATCATAATCTATAGTATATATAAAAGGTGGGATGATGAGAAATTTCTGTACACCATTTTTGCCATCTCATTATAACTCTCTTCATTTTTCTTTTGATGGCAATTGTGTCATTTAAATACAAACTTTCTCTCTCAATTTATCTCTTCTCTCCATCACGATCTCATCCCTCTAAATTCCTCTATTTTCTCTTACTAATCTTCTCTCTCTTAATTATTCTTTCATTAACTTTATCTTTCTCATTGATTTTTTTTTTAATTCCTTTCATCTACCACATACCCTCCCCCAATCCTTTCATCTTCCTAACCCACTTCCAATTATCACATACCCTCTCCCAATCCTTTCATCTTCCTAATCCCCTTCCAATCCATATATAAATATGTGTCCTCTCTTTCTCATGCCAACCAAAAATCAAGAGGTGGTGGATGAAAAAAAGTGGAAAATTTTCTTACTGGTGTGAAGGTATGAAAATTACTCTCTTGCTTTAGCAACGACAACAACAATGCACGTATGGGTGATCGAGAGGAGAATTGATAGTGAAGAGAAACCAAATTAAAGCTGAGTTGATGACATCAGTTCACTTTCCCCAAATTTATCATTGTTCAAATTGAAAGAAATTCTAGAGTACGATGTGTCGAGATGGTGGTCGATGGAATTGAGATAAAGTAAAATTCGATCATTCTCATAATTTGGATAACAAGAATGCTTATGAGTTTGATTTTTATTCATTTATTTTTTAAACTGATGCTTTTGATTTATATATGTGAAATGTTGTAATTATTTTTACAAAGTTAGGGCAAACAAACAATTTTTATCTCTCTCAATTTCATCAGGTTGGACCTTTTAAGACTTACTCTTTCTCTTACTCTTACCTTTCTTTTTCATTCTAGAGTGAACAAACTCAATGATTTAACGTCACACAATTTAACAAAGATAAAATGTAATATAATAATTTATAATCGAGAAAATTAGAGGTAAATTAAGAACGTTCATTCATTAAAAAAAAAAAAACTTGCACGTTGGTGCTTTTTCATCTTTCTTACACTTCAAATTTGTACTTACTTTCCATACTAATATTTCATCATATTCTTTTATTACAACAATATCATACCTTTAATTTATATTTATATATAATCACTTTCTTTCTTTAAAATGATAATATTATAAACTTAAAAAATACTATTTGTTTTACTTTAATTTAGAACTACAAGATTCTACGTGCAACGCACGTGTTTCTTACTAGTTTGTCTAAATGGACAATTAAAATTGATAGGTGGTTGTATCATTTTACATTTCTACCATTCTATCTCATGCCTATTTTTAGGTCCATCGCACCTCTAGATATTAAAAAAATAATAAAAAGTCATCTCATCCTATATTTTTGGCATTTAATATCTTTCGACCAATTGGATTTTGTTTATTCTAAATTAAATTTGAAATATTTATAAGATTTGATTCTTCTTATAATTTTTATTAATTAAATCTTCGATTCAGTTCTCCATTTTTCTTCTAAATCTATTTCATGTATTCTGTTTGGGGAAGAGAATACCCTGGACACATGGAAGGCCCCTATTGGTGCTCCAAGATGACTCATGAGTCATGCCCAGCTCGGACCGCCGAGGTCACCACCACTAGCGTTGACAAATGCTAAGTATGAGGGCCGAGGTGAACCTGGCCGAGGTCCGACCTACCGGGAAGCTCAGTAGGGGCCGATGTGAGCTACTGTCAGCGGCGTGATTATCGGGTGTAACCGTCGGCCCCGAGATTATCGGGTGTAACCGACGGTCCCGAGATTACCGGGTGTAACCGTCGGNATATCTTGCTTGTGGGTCACACTGTACACCTAAGTAAACTTTTTATTCTCTACTATCTCCATCAACAATGAATCCTTCTTCTGACTTTTCTATTCTTTTTCTACTTTTCGTTATGTTTGGGGAAGAGAATACCCTGGACACGTGGAAGGCCCCTATTGGTGCTCCAAGATGACTCATGAGTCATGCCCAGCTCGGACCGCCGAGGTCACCACCACTAGCGTTGACAGATGTTAAGTATGAGGGCCGAGGTGAACCTGGCCGAGGTCCGACCTACCGGGAAGCTCGGTAGGGGCCGATGTGAGCTACTGTCAGCGGTGTGATTATCGGGTGTAACCGTCGGTCCCGAGATTACCGGGTGTAACCGACGGTCCCGAGATTACCGGGTGTAACCGACGGTCCCGAGATTACCGGGTGTAACCGACGGTCCCGAGATTACCGGGTGTAACCGTCGCGAGATTAGCGAGACTACCACCCATGAGTAGAGGACCTCACTCCACGATCAGGTACGATGATTTCTGACCTCGAACTAAACTAGGAATCCGACCTGTACTGACTTGATCGTCGGAGTGCTCACCTTTTTGTGCAGGTCCGCCCAAGTATCCAGAACGGTCCGGAGATCGAGTTCGAGCTGCAATCTGAAATACACTGTTGTGCATATCCTTGCATAAACAATACCTATTCAATTAATACCGTTTTGAAATTCAAGATTGCAACATGTGGTTTGAAATCGACATTCTTTAACATACATGCATTTGTAGACAACAAAATGTATATTTGATCTCATGTCCTCATGCATGCTTCACCAATATAGATCGTAGATGATTGGATTACATTCGTACATGTACAAATTCTACAGTTAAATGTGGCAGATGTGGATAAGTAGGACACAAAAGTACATGTTGCAAAAATCCACGTGCCAATTGGATCTTTCGAATTTCGTTATTTAACCTTTATTTTTATCAAACAATGGATATATAATTTTTACTTTTAATTGTTCTAACATTTTATTTAGATTTTTATTTTTATGTTAATAACATGTAGATTATTTTCTAATTGTTCTTAGACTTTTGAAATATTCATTTGTAAGTTTTTCTAATAAAACAACATAACCTTTTTATACAACAACCGTATATATGCGTTATTATCTTAACAATTTTAGTAGTGGTTTTCAATCTTTTATACATTCTGCATTTAAGTTTTTTATTTTCTGCATTTTCTTGCATTTTTATATGTGTTGATATTTTTTCTATAAAAAATATATAATTTTAAAGCAACATTCTTTTCAAGAATCAACATATAATTGATATTTTTTCTCTTAAATAATATAATTTAATAATATGATAAATAAATTTCAACCGAACAACATCATTTATATAATTTTTTTGAAAAATATTAAGGTTAAAAATGAAATTTATATTTAATATTAATTATTTAAAAAACTTATATTAATACGAATTACTACAAAATAATATATAAAAAATAAAATATTAAATTACTAAAAATAAATATATTATATGAGGACAAATTATATAAAATTAATGTATAAATTTGTGAAGGATTACAAGTTACCTTGGAAGATTAATGCCCCCTACTTTTGGTATCTGACTCCCTTGGAGCAATTCACCTCTTGAATGGACATGACTCGGATATGATAAAAATCATTTGGGCAGTGCTGGTGATGAAAGCGATGAGAAAAGGATTATCGAAAGAGTGGAACGGTTGTCCTATTTGGGCCTGTGGATGTAGTTCGAAGTGAACTGTTGTTAGTTTAATTTAAGGGATAACAACACAACTAGAACTTTTCATACACCTAATTACATAAAAATCTAAAAACTCTAATATTTGCAGTTTTGTCAAATGGAGGCCCATTTGAAAATTACCAAGTTACCAATGTTCATATAATTTTAATAATAAATAAAACCCTAAACATAAACCCTAGACCCTTAGAGTTAATTTTCCTTTTATAAAGAAATAAAACCCTAGGCCTTAAACCTTAAAAAAAAAAAAGGTTACACTGACAAAACCACCTAAAAATTGAGCAAGAATAATGACATTGTTTAGTTACTATATTTTTTTATTATTTATTAAGATATTATAATTTAATCATTAATATAAATACTTGCGTTAAATAACCCTCCATTATCACTGGGAAAGAATAGATTTTAAAATATAATAACAAACGTAATATAATAAGGGTAATTTGGGAACAAAATAGTTTATTTAAATTTTGAAAATCTAGATTTGTAAATATTTTAAAAAATAGACATTTGTGAAATATGAGGTATAATATGGTACTAGACATAACAATTATGTTAATTTAATAACCTCTTTTAGCATAAATTTAATAACTTTTTCTCTAAAAAAAATTATATCAATATTCATAAGGAGCCACAATGACCCTAGTTCGATAGTTCTGAAATATTATATAAATTTAAAACATTTGAAGAATAAATCTTACAAAACAAATATAACCATAAAAATATTGACGAACATCCTCATAAATTTTTGTATAAAATAAATGGCTATGGTAAGATGATAAATATATGTAATATTAGTGCATGGTATCTGTATTGGAAAAAAAAAAAGCAAACATGAACTTGGCTCATATTAAAAGGTCATGTAGGTTTAAAAAAAAAAAAGGAAGAAAGAAAGAAGAAGGAAAAATAAGTGACAATTTCCCAAAACTTTGGTCATTTTTGGCCATATTCCTTTTTCCAGCTCCCCTCTCAGCCCATTTCCTTACGCCCACTGCTCTCTGCTTTCTCTCGATTCCTCTCCCTCTCGCGATCCATCCGCCGTCGACCGTCACTGACCTCGCCGGTTGTAGTCGCCGCCGCCGTGACCTCGCCGGTGTGTCTCCTCCGTTGTCGCCGTGGGTGTGAGTTCTCTTCTTCTTCTTCCTAGATCTTATTTTAGGTTTTCAATGTACATTGCACTTAATTTCCTGAACCAGCATCTCGCTGGTTCCAACTCCCACCATTCATTACATTTACATTGTTTTAAAAAGTAAGTTGATGATCAGCTTTGATAGGCTCCGTGGGAGAAGTCGAAACTTTTACGTATTGATACCTTCATTTTATGGTATTGAAAGCATAAAATTCAACATCTTCCACTTAAGGGTTCTCTAAGAACCCAAGTCATAGTCATAGGCATGGAGTATTCCTGAACCTACATGCCTATGGACTTTGCTTAAATTTTAGAGGGCATTTATCTCCTTTTATGTGTACTCCTAAGATTTACCAAACAAATACGAACCCTGTCTTTAGTTTGAATTTATGTAACATGGGTAAGATTTGCCCAAGAACTAACAAGCTCTGTTAATGTAACCCATAAAGATTGGCATTCAATACTTTATCAGTCCAGGAACTATAAGTTAATTTAACAGAAGGAAAATCTCAAAAAACAACAACTAAATAAATATGGAAGTAATCTTCTTTCATTATACAAATTAGAACTACAGTCTAATTTCATCTTACCATCTTTTTTCAATAACCGATGACAAATCAATCATCTTCCTCAATGACTTTGGTGTTAGTCCCCAGCCCTTCAGTTCTTCAGCTGGGATTTCTGATACTGTTACGAGGGAGTACAACTCTCCCTGTCCAAAGATATTTATTTTCTTCTTTTTTTTTTGGAGTATTTCTTGCCTAGATCAGGTGACAAAGATCTTAATCCAGCCAAATTTTCTTTTCTTGCAAAGCTGTGACTTTCTTTTGCATAACACAAGACTCTCTTGCATTGAAATTCAAAAAATGGAGGGGAAAGTGGATTTCAGAGGTTGACTAGATAACCACTTGTCTGTCCAGAAGGAAATATTTTTTCCGTTTTCCATCTTGAAGCTGATATGGGACCAAAAGAAACTTATAAGTTCTCTTCTTGCCATCATGTTTTTTTTTTCTTATTTCTTTTTGTTTTTAATTTGGTTATCTTGAACTTGAATTGCGTGAGGAAGATAAGATACAAAAACTCAGATTGAAGTTTCTTTCACAATGATGTGAAATTGCATTAGTTGTATTTGAATCTTTAAATTTATGATTCTACATCAATATTTGTACACCAATCTTTATTGTTTTCTACTTTGGCATACATAGGCAGGGGAATTCCTTGGAGTGCTCCTGTTTTGCAAAGTATTCGTGAAGAAGTATGTTTACGTGACTTTGTATTTATTTCATTGTTCCAACCATGCTAACATTTACTACTATTATCATTAATAGGTTAAAATTAGCATTCCGTAGACTTGCCTCGAGAGCCTCAAAACCTAAGCCTCAAAAGTCTTTTACAATATCGAGTTTATTTAGATGTAGTTTCTAGTTATAATTTACTTTATTTTAGTTAAATATGATTTATAATTAGGTAATTAACTATAATTAGGTATTCACAAGTGAAAAGAACTTGAGTTGTTTATATGTTCATAAAGCTTTGATAGAGAGTTGGTTTACTTGTTTGTGTTGATTTGGTATAATTGAAGTGTTATAACTATCCTACAGTTATAATAGTCATAGCTTATGTTATGTCATAAAGTTTCATTATTTGAGCGAGTTTAATGTCTTTATTTTCATTTCATAGGTTTCGTAGGTCTGTGTTCATTTTTTATCCTGTCATGTTCTTAGATTCAATTCTTACACTTATTTCATATTATTTTTAAAATTACTTACACTTATTTCGTATTTATTCTTACATGGTAGATCTTCTGCATCAATGTGGCTTCGAATACCGAACAACAATTTTATGGAATTTTGAAGAACTAGGTGGGGTCTTTGTTGTTGCACTAATCAGGGTTCAGAGCCTACCTCTCGCCCGTTTCTCTCTGTCTTCACTTTTTCCCGTCTTTTTTTTTTTTTCCATTCAGAGATTTTAGGTTTCCAAGTAAGGTTGGTAAACAAAGTTTTCCCTATTATTGCTCTGTTATTTTTCATATTTTTGTTCGTCATTGAAGTTGTTTGTTTCTGAAATCATTGGTGTATCTTTGTTTTGGCAGGCAGTTAATGTGAATAGAGCTGGATTCTGTTAAGAGCTTTTCCATTTGCAGCAGCACCGAGAAGTCATTTTGTGTTTGAGAAATTGCGAGCATCATTTAAGAATGTGGAGATCGCTTGTGGCAGCGAGAGCTTCTCTTAGCAGATGGAGAACACGAAGCTTCTTTGTAACCCGATGCACGGACGTGCCTTTATCTGAGTCTGTATTTCATTTGCAACATTCAAGTACATCGATCATGGTTCCTCAATCCTATTTCTTTAGAAGTCCTAGGTTTTTTTCTCAACACTCTTCAAATTCTTCAAATTCTGAGCCGCTCACCGAAGATTATAAATTGATTTCAGTGGAAACGGTTGAATTTGGTGATATTAGTGATAGGCAGATTGAAATTTGTGTAGCTGATGTTGCAGCTCATGAGTTTGATGGGGAGTCGGTGGTCGTTGAGGAGAATAGCGATCCCCTAGTGGAAGTTTCTGATGGCAATGGGGAAGAAGAGAAGATTTATGAAGTCAATATGGAGCAGTTAGACAGTGTGCTATCTCTTATTCAGAGTACTATTGATGGGTCCTTTGAATCAAGTCTTGATGAAATGGGATTGACTCTACATGAAGATTTTGTTCTGAAGGTGCTTGAAACCCAACATATTTTGGGTGATAATTTGATTCGGTTTTTCCGCTGGGCTTTGAATAGCCAACCCGAATACAAAGTAACTACTCGTGTTGTGGCTGTTCTTGTTCACTTGATTTGTAGTGATCCTCGACAAAAAGATGTTTACTTTTTGTGGGATTTGATTAAAGAAATTGGTGAAAAGCAGAATGGTTTGTTGAATGCTGAGATTCTAAATCAGTTGATAGCAGTGTTTTCAAAGTTGGGAAAAGGGAAGGCTGCTTTTGAAGTACTTGACAATTTTGAGGTTTTTGGCTGTGTTCCTAATGCTGAATCTTACTATTTGACTGTGGATGCACTTTGCAGGCGCTCATTTTTCGATTGGGCATGGTCAGTCTGCGAGAAAATGCTTGATGTAGGAAGCTTGCCTGAAAGTGATAGAGTTGGTAAGATCATATCATGGTTTTGTAAAGGAAAGAAGGCAAAGGAAGTTCATTCAGTTTACTTGCTAGCAAAGGAAAAACATCTGAACCTACCTAGGTCTTCTGTAAATTTCTTGGTTAGTTCTCTCTGTCGAGATGACGAGACTGTCGAGTTGGCTGTTAAAATGTTGAAAGATTTCTCGTTGGAGGATCGGAAGCATGCCATTAAGCCATACATGGTGGTAATCCATAGTTTGTGCAGGACTAAAAATACCAGCAAAGCAAAAACTTTACTTTTAAAGATGATTGCCGAAGGACCACCTCCAGGAAATGCAGCTTTCAATTCTGTTATTAATGCATGTTCCAAAGCTGGTGATTTGGGGGAGGCAATGGAACTGGTAAAGCTGATGGAGAGTAGAGGGTTGAAGCCGGATGTTTATACTTACACAGTTGTCATTAGCGGTTATGCGAATGGTGGTCAAATGAAGGAGGCATATGAAGTCTTGGGTGAAGCGAAAAAGAAGCATACTAAGTTAAGTCCTGTAACCTACCACACACTCATCCGTAGTCACTGCAAACTTGAAGAGTTCGATGCGGCACTGAAGTTACTGAGTGAGATGAAAGAGTTCGGAGTGCAACCAAATGTAGACGAGTACAACAAGTTGATCCAATCTCTTTGCTTGAAGGCTTTAGATTGGAGAACAGCAGAGAGGCTATTTGAAGAAATGAAGGCAAACGGTTTGCATCTTAATGGCATTACCAGGGGTCTAATACGAGCAGTCCGAGAACTGGAAGAGGAAGAATTGAGGACTGAAGAATTGAGCATCGCGGCTTAGGCACAATTGAATGGAGGCCTCTTCTAGCCTTTCCCCTCGGTGCTTTATACTTGTTTTTCCTTGGGTGACATAGGATGATATTTCCAATAATGTTAAAATCGTCTTGTTATATCTTTTTTTTTGGATATGTCAACGAAATTTTGTTTTTCAGAAGAAAAACCCGACCCCCCTTATTCTCTCTCTTAGACATAAGATGATTTTGGGTTTGAAGCTAATTCTTGCTCCTAGATTGAATAATCTTGTACATGGATGAGAATGCACCAGGAATATTTCTCAAGAATGGCTAAGTTGATAGTAGAGTTAAAGAGAAGGCGAGCATTCAAAGGCAGACGTAACCAGCTGAGCTTCAAAATGAACTCCTCAACAGAAAGATGCATTGGTCGAAAATGGATGTACATGTCCGTTTTGTTTTTGTTTTTGTTTTTGTTCTTTTGTTTTGTTTTTTAAGAATCGGAACTTTCGTTGTCAAAGAGAGAGAATACAAGAAAAGGGGAGATGAGATATCCCTGCAAACCAGAAGGTCACAAACAGAAAACTCAATTGGTGAAGATTTGAGTCACTCTAATTATAAAAAAGTTCCGTAATAGAGCACCAAGAGGAAGCAAAGAATTTGACAAGAACCCAAAAGGTGTTTCTGTCCCTTCAAATATTCTAGTGTTTCTTTCATGCCACCCTGCATAGCAAAGCCACCACTGCACTTTGACCACAGGATTTTAGCCTGACCCTTGAAATCAATCCCCAAAATAAGTTAAACAAAAGCATAAGCCTTGTTAGGAAACACCCAGTTGAGATTGAAGGTGTTGAACAAATCCCAGAGGCTGCTACAAAAGGCCAAAAAATATGAGCAGCACTCCATGATTTCTACAACAAACTTCACCAGTTTGCATCATTAAGCTGGGCATTCATTTCTGAAGTCTGCAACAGGTTTTGTGCCTTTTCTGTGTGAAGATCCACAAGAAAACCTTGATTTTTGTAGGAATTTTCAGTAGCAAGATGAAGCTGTGAATCCTTAAAAAGGGCTGCTTCTGAACATTGAATCTTTGGTAAGAAAGATTTTACAGAAAAAGTTCTGTTGCTTTGAAGCATCCAAACTTTTGTGTCTTCAATGGTGGAAGACTAGAGAGCTCAGCCCATTCTTCCACCTCCAAATCTGATAAGTTTTTGCAAAAGACAAATTTCAGTCATTTCGAGTTTCATTCTAAACTTGAGTTATCACCGATTCTTTTGGGTTTGCCACCCTAAAATGCCCAGGGAATTTACGAGGACAGTCTTCATTAAATAACCATGGGTCCTTCTAAAAGAGCACTCAACTTTAACTTGTACCAGGCATCGGCTTTGGCGCAGCATGGAAAGATCTTAGCCCACAACAAATTGTTTTATTGTTTTGGACCAACTACAAGATTAGCATGATTGAGCATGATTTTTTCCCTTATATATGTCAATCAATTTTTTTTGTTTTTTTTTTCAGTTTTTGTTTATTTGAAAGATGTTAAGTAGAGACTTAGTCCAAATTTTGTATTTTTGTAGTCTCTTTTACTTTAATAAGTTTTGCACTTATAACTGTTCTGAATATTTGAATCATTTGAATATTTGAGTTGTGATTCTAGATAATTTCTGGAAAAAAAATGCCACATGACTTTATTTTGTTCAATTTACCTTTTATTAAAAGGGAGGGTGAATTGGTAGTTTATTTTAATTAAAAACTCTATAATCGTGTTGCTTAGCTTGAAGTTTACAACAACTTCAGAATCAAAGCGACAACTTTTAATGGAAAATCTATGCAAAATATTCATTATGCTTTGTCTTTTTATCATTAAACTATGCTCATATTGACCAGCGTTTCTAACTAAATTCTTTCGTCTAAATTCTTTCAGGGACGAAGGAAGCCTAGAAGAAAGTTTGTTCTTACCAAATCTAGACCCCGCTATGATCCTCTTATCCTCTTATGGAATTTCTATTATTCAAAGCATGAGTTAGATCCTTATCAAAGCTACAAGAATGTAATTACCCTATTGGCCAAGACTCTAATAGCACTCTAATAAATCATTATAGACTTTTCTAATATAGAATGGTACCAACAGTTGAGAATAATCACTAATCACTAAAGTTGTATGAGTCTGTTTGTATTGGGCTTTTATATTCTACAAATAGCCCATATGTAAATACATTTCATTTCAATGAATTCAAGTCTAAAATTCAAGAATTCATTTCATTCTCCAAGATTTGTGTTTACATTTTATGATGGTATCAGAGGACCTATCTAACAACAACTGAAAAAGAAAAAGAAGATGAATGATTCCGTGGAAGAAAACTCTGGAGTTACAGCAAATCAGAGTACACAAGTTGTGAATCCTGGAAGTAAAATCACCACCGTCAAACTGGGTGATGATAATTTCCTACTAGGAAAATTCCAAATCCTAGCTGCTCTTGAAGGAAATGGCTTGGAAGCCATATCAGTGAAGAAAGTGAAGCACCGCCACAATTCTTGAGTAGTTCAAACTCGTCCAATGTACAGACCATAATGAATGGTGCATATAACCACGGGAAAAAGCAAGATCGCTTGATTATGTCTCGACTTCTTGGAGCCATGTCAGAAGAGATAATCTCCGATCTTCTTCACTGCAACATAACAAAAGAGATTTGGCAACATCTTCATCAAATGTTTGCATCAAGAGACCTTGCAAATGTTATGGAGCTCAAAACAAAACTACAGAATGCAAGAAAAGGTAACTTGAGCCTAAAAGAATATATGAGGCAGCTAAAGAACTTAATAGATTCTTTAAAAGGAGCTGGAAAGTTAATCTCATTGGAAGATCACATACTACATATATGAACCGGTCTTGGTTCAGAATATGAATCTACTGTATCAGTCATCACTGCCAAGTCTGGTATAACCATTCAAGAAGTAAGATAATTGTTACTATCACATGAAAGTAGATTGACTAAAGAATTATCAATTACTATATCGAAAGATCCAACACTAACATCAAAAAATCTTGTAAATCAACCAAATCCAGCTCCCAGTTCTAATGAGAATTCAAGAACACAAAATATGTATATCCAGAGAGCAATAGAAATCAAAACAATTCATACGCAGATAGTAATAGAGGCAAAAACAGAAATAACAGAGGAAGAGGCTGACAGTAGTTTTCAAGATTCAGAGTTCAATGCCAAATTTGTCACAAATTTGAACATACGATAGATAAATGTTATTTTTGCATGTCAAACAATTCTTCTACACGGCAATATCCTAAACAACAGAATACATACAACTTTAGTGATTATTCTTAACTCTGACCACACTTGAAATTTTCATAACCAGAAAGTAGGAGTGTCATCTTGTGTAGAATTTCCACCACCTCATTTCATGTCTCCAAACTAGTAGGCTTTTTTTTTTTTTGATATCCGTGAGTATCCGATCAGCTTACCGATGTAAACCATTATAGGATTTGAACCCATTCCCTCTTAATTACCTTGGCCCTTTTGGACCAATGAGCCACCCATGATGGTTAACTAGTAGGCATATTAAGTACATATTCTTGTCACTCTCACCGATGTAAATTAAAGGACTCACTTTTATGGGCAAAACTTCATAAAACATTACATATTGATATCAACTTGCAAATAATAATCACATTTTATATCATACATTCACTATAATGTTTCATTTGGTTTCTAAATTTATTTTATTATTATTATTATTTTTTTGTAATCTGTCTATCTTGTAAGGCTTACTTAACAAAGCATCAAAAGTTCAAATTAGTTTTTCCAAATCTTCAAGGTGGCCATTTATATAAAACCCCTTTTTAAAGTTAAAATTAGAAAAATGGGATACTGATTCAAATATGATAAAATAACCCACTATACCATAATGTTTCCTTCTTCCCCTCCTAGCACTATAATATGTTTCTTGTCCAATCTTATAAGATTACCACTAATTAAAAAAAATTTCATATTTGTACATTCTTCTTCCAACTCTACCAACTTTATATTGATATGGTAATTTTATCAATAAATTTCATGCTATCGAAAAATATTGTCTTATTTGACGAGAATAATTATGCTTATACTCGCAATCATTTAAATCCTAAGATCCATTTCCAAATTATCACTTAAACAATATAAAATATGGTTAAGTTAATTTTAGAGCTGAGTAATGGAAACATATCTTGCATCACATGAAAATGATATACAAAGGAGAGAAATCTGTTGAATGTTTGTTTTGACATAAGAATGAAAGACATGGAAATGGTTTATAAAAGAAAAAATAAATAAGTTGGTACCTTTGATCTTTTCAGAAGGAGGATCTTTGTTTTAATTAGTGGTAATCTTAGACACATTTTTTTTTTCATTTCTCTTCAAAGTATTTTATATTTGACAATTCCTCACTCGAATGCACAACAGTTACTACAAGAAAGTTTTGATACTTTTTATTTGATGCACGTACACAAGGATAAATAAGAGGTTATAGAAAGGAAAATAGATGAAGAATAAACAAAGATATACTAGTTCTCATAAATAATATACATATCGATATCATGATAGCTACCAGAATATCTTAAAAAACTATTGACGAGCAAAAATTGAAGAAGAAAAAACTATGTAATTAAGCAAAAATAAAAAACTTGGCATCTTAGAAGAATTGAGATTGCACATACCACTAATTATGAAGGAAGATAACATATTGAACAATCTACCAAAATGTCATATTGGCATTGTGCATTTCTTTTGAGAGTGCCCCAACAAATGGCAGCGACCACATTGTACAATCCTTTTTGGGCGTTTTAAATTTTCAACTCTGAGAACTTTTTTTTTCGGCCTTCCAGGTGGGCGACGAACTTTTGGAGGGCGTATTGTAATATCAACCTTTGCACCTCCTCCACCCTCGGCCCCCTCGCCCGGTTCCTTCCACATGCTCTTGTCGAGGATCGGGTATATCATTTGAGAATAGGTTTCACGGTAACTAGCGACGGTGAAACAAGGCTCGGCAAATAGATGAGCATTTTGCCCACAAGACATTAGAGCAGCTGCAGCATGAGCACAAGGCAGACCGTATAGATGCCATCGACGACAGGAGCACACACGACTATGTATGTCCACAATATTCGTCCGCTCAGTTGAGACAATTTCAAACTCAACTTCATTCGCACGAAGTACTTGATAGCAACGAGTATCTGCAATTGCCTCAGAAATCCGCTTCTCGGCTGAAGGTACAAGAATGGAGGTCCATCTCATTCCCATTTCACGTCGCTCGTTAAACCAATATGCCATTTCATTACGAATATGTTCCATCATTTGCACGATCGGAAGCTCATGACACTCAAGTGCCCAATTATACAATAACTCCGTAACCCCTAATGTAAAATGGCCATATCGCACACCTTCAAAATATGCTACAGCCCACAATTGAGGAGGGAAGTGTTGAAACCACATTACCACATCTTGTGAGATCTCTACCATCTCAGCAATTTTATTGTCGAACTCAGTTGCAGTGAGAGCATAAACAGCATTCCAAAAGATATTGACCAACTTCGTGTTTTTAAATGTATCCCGAAAATTTTCGCTTACAAAACGCAAACAAAATCCATGGAATGCACTCGGAAAATGAGTTTCGACCGCCTCTACGATGCCTTTTTGTCTTTCAGAGAGTATTGTCAATTGAGGCATGCTATCAGTATTTACCCCAAGAAGCTTTCGCAGTTCTGACATGAACCACATCCAATTTTCATCGCTCTCCACATCAACAACTGCAATGGCCAATGGAAACAATGAATCGTCTGCATCAACAACGGCAGCACAAAGTAAGGCTCCCAAGTATTTTCCTTTAAGGTGTGCTCTGTCAAGTTCAAGAAGGGGCCTACAAGCATTTATAAACCCATATATTGAAGCACGGTAAGAAATAAACAAACGCTGGAAGCAATTTTCTTGCCCAGTTGCAAAAACAGATGCAATGCTTCCAGGGTTTGTTTTTCTTATTTGCTCACAATAAGCAGGAAGAAGACGATATCCTTCTTCGAAAGTTCCGTGAAGTGCAGCCATGCTACGTTCTTTCCCACGCCAAGCTTGCATGTAGGATACAGCAACTCCATGCTGATCGCGGATATCCCGCAAGATTTCCTTGGGTTTATACTGCGGATTATCTTTAACTTGTGCTGCCACTGATCTGGCAACCCATCCCACGGAGGCTTGCTGATGATGAAGATTATGAACACCTTCACAAGTATGCTCACTATGTAGGGTTCTAACTGTAAAGGTAGGAACTCCAGGACATTTTGCAATATGCACACGCCATGGGCAACCTTCCTTGGAGCACTTGGCTATGAACCGACTACGATCAGATTTGACGATTCGAATATCAAAATGCATGGCTATAGCAATATCTTTCATCATTCTCCGGCAAGTTTCAACATCGGGAAATTCTTGTCCAATAACCAGAGTGGGATCTACTAGACTAAGTGCAGCATCAGATACAATTAAAGTATGGTCAGCCATTTCTTCATCAGTGTAAGAAGGTACCAACATCATGGTTCTATCGGTTCTCTTCATGTTGAAATAAAGAACTATACAGAGGCTCTACGTAACACACTGCCACCAAAAAAGGTAAAGAAAGGAACCCATGTTAGACTTTTAAGATCTCTATAAAAAATCACTGTACAATACAACATTATAATTTACGATAAATTATGGAAACAAGCCCGGTTAATTATGTTAGAAGAAACATCCAAACTCCAGTCCATCATGCAAGTAATAAAAATTTTCCAGCATTAGGCAAGTTTTTTTTATATGAAACAAATATTTCATTGATGGTATGAAATATACAAAAGGCCATAAAGGCAATTACAAGAAAACACTCCAGCATTAGGCAAGTTAAACCTACCACTAGTACTAGTGACAATCTTTTACATAATTGAGAGATACGTAATAAGTTTATAAATTGATTTTATTGTCTTAAACATGATTATGCAGTTCGCAAGAGAAAAAATAAACATGATCATGCACAAGGTGAGAATGTGGAAAGATTCAAGAGGGTTGGGTGACATTAGTAAACAGACCTCCTTGAAGAATTTCCTATAACAGCAGTATCCTAATGTGGTTCTCATTCAAGAATCAAACTTTGAGAAAGTAGATAAGAGATTTATTAAATCTTTATAGAGCTCTTAAGATATCGGTTGAATTGAAGTTGAATCTATAGATACATTGGGTGGTATTTTGACTATGTGGGATGAAAATCAAGTTTGTATTTTAGAGGTGCTAAAAGGAGGATTTACTGTATCTATTAAAGCTTCACTTCAGAATGACAGTCTTTGGGGTAACTAACGTTTTTGGTCAAATAAATGAACGCTAGGCTCTTCAATGACATAAAAAACTCTCTTCAACATGTGATAGAGTCTATTTCTTTTTTGGCACTATCATGCGTCTATAGCTTAAATGTCTCGCCTTTTATCAACTATAGCTTGAATTCTCTTATATCCAATTAGAGAAGTTTTTTGTACTTAGTAAATACTCATTTCTTACCCAAAAAAGAAAAAAAATGGTAACTTCATTGGATTGGGTTTAATCCTTTTGTATAATTTCATATACCATCAATGAAGTTGTTTCCTGTCCAAATAACCAAATATATATATGAAATGAAATATGTTTCTCATCATTAAAAAAAAAGTAATAATTAAAAAAATTGGTTCCAATTACAAACAATAGGAGTTAGAAAGAAAACTCAAAAGTGTAAGAAAGAAAAGATTAGAAGGCAAGGCATTTTGAGTAGTAGACCGGAAAATTTAGTCCAGAAAAAATTTATCAAAGGTGTGAGATTTGAGAAGAGTTATTTTATAAAAAAGACAAGGTTTTAGAAATAAATAAATAAGGTACAGATTGGTTAGTTTATTTTGGTTAAAGTCTTTGGGTCTGTGGCTTCTGCCTTTGTTGTCGGGGTGATACCTTTGTTGTGGTTTTTCTCTTGTTGTCATTGACCAACTTTTCGGGCGGTTTTT